TTTATTTATTTATTGGTCTCTGTGACGTTTATATCTGCTCCGATCTTTATTATCTCCTTCCTTTTGCTTATGCTGGGCTTTTCCTGTTGCTCTATTTCTCTTTGAGCTGTAGAGTTAGATATTTTATTACCATTGATTCTTATTTTTTAAGATTGGCCTGTAGAGCTTTAAACTTTCCTCTCAAGACTGCTTTCACCGTGTCCCATAGATTTTGTATTTTTTTTCATTGTCATTTGTTACCAAGATGCTTTGTTTCTTATTTGATCTCTTCTAGTAACACAGTATTTGTTTCAGAGCATGCTATTTAGCCTCCAGTTGTTTGATTTTTTTTTATTGTGGTTGATTTCTAGTTTTATGCCACTGGAAAGATGCTTGATATGATTTATATCTTCTTGAATTTGATGAGACTTTGCCTGTGTCCCAATAGTGGTCTATCTTTGAAAATAGCTCATGTACACTTGAGAAGAATGTACCGTATTTTTCGGACCATAAGATGCTCCGGACCATAAGACGCACCAGTTTTTAGAGAAGGGAAATGAAGAAAAAAAGATTATGAAACAAATAGTGTCCTAAAATATTTTATGTGCATTAAAACCCAACATCACAGTCATAAACACATGTAATCAACCCTGTAAAGTAAACAGCAGCATTTAGAACCATTTTAGAGCCGGGCAAGCACACAGAGACAACACAGAGCCGGGCAAGTAAAAAACCTTTTTTTTTAAAGTATATGTGTAGGCTATATTTGGACCATAAGACGCAGGGACTTTCCCCTCCCACTTCTGGGGGAAAAAAAGTGCGTCTTATGGTCCGAAAAATACGGTATGTTCTGTGGCTTTGGGGTGAAATGTTCCGAAGATGTCTATTAATTCCATCTGTTCTAGTGAGTCATTTAGGATTGATGTTTCTTTGCTGATTATTTGTTTAGAAGATTTGTCTTAGTGGGGTATTAAAGTCCCCTAATATAACTGTATTGCTGTGAACCTCTCCCTTGATATCCCCAGAATTTTTTTTTTTAATGTATTTGTATGCTCATGTCTTGGATGCATATATATTTATATATTGTTGGGTTGCTCCTTTTAGAATTATGAAGTGGCCTTCCTTATCTCTTGTTATGGCCTTCACTTTGAGGTATAAATTGTGAGCTATAAATATTGCTACCTCAGCTTTTTTTTTTTTTTTTTCCATTTCCAATCACCTGAAAAACCTTTTCCATCCCTTCACCATCAGTCTGTATGAGTCCTTTGTTCTGAGGTAGTTTTTCCTGTAGACAGCAGATATATGGGTCATGTTTTCTTATCCAGTTAGCTACCCTATGTCTTTTGATTGGGGCATTTAATCCATTTGCATTTAATATTATTGATAGGTACTTTACTGTCACCATTTTTATTCTTTATGCCTGTGTTCCTTTCTTTCCTATTTTTCTTTTTTATAGCAGACCATTTAGCATTTCTTGCATTGATGATTTTGTGATAATAATCTCCCTTAGTTCTTTTTTGTCAGTGAAGCTCCCAATTTCTGATTGATAGCCTTGCTGGATACAGTTTTCTTGGATTTATATTCTTCCTTTGCATAACTTTGTATATTTCATTCTATTCCCTTCTGATCTGATGTGTTTCTGTTGAGAAATCAGTCTCAATAGTCTGATGGGTGATCATTTGTAGGTAACTTTCTGTGTCTCTCTGGAAGTCTTTCACATTTTTACTTTGTCATTGGTGTTTTTCAATTGAATTATAATGTGTCTTGGTGTTGGACTTTTGGGATTCATCTTGTTTGGGACTCTGTGAGCTTCTTGGACTTGTGTGAGTTTTCCTTCCCTATATCAGGGAAGTTTTCTGTCATTATTCAAACAGGTTTTCTATTCCTTGCTCAGCTTCCTCTCTTTTTGTTATCTCTATAATGCAGATGTTTTATTTTCTGTTGTCCCAAATTTCCTTTAGGTTCTCTTCCTGTTTTTTAAGTATTTTTTTCTAGATGCTGCTCTGCTTGAGTATTTTTCCTACCTTGTCTTCTAGCTCATTGATGCTAGCTCAGTCCTCCTCTTCTTCTAATATATTGTAGATGCTTTATATTGAGTTCTTTATTGAAGTGATGTCATTTTTCAGTTTTTCTTGGTTCTTCTTCATTTCCTTTTGGTTCTTACACATATTATTGTATTTGTCTTCCATCCTTTTGAGTGACCTTATGACCACTTCTCTGAAATTTTTCTCTTACATATTGCTTGCCTCTATTTCATTTACTTCCTTGTCTTCTGATTCATTTATTCTTTCATGTGCAGGTTGTTCCTTTGTCTCCTCATGATCATTCCTTTCTGGGTGTCTGGTTATGTAGCTTTCTCTATCCTGCATTGACTTAAAGGCATAAAATACAACACAACAAGACACAATGCACAAGTCACCAAACACAAATGTATTCACGATACTAATAACCCCAAATAAAGGTGATCACCAGAGAAAAGAGAATTAGGGAATGAAAAAAAAGAGTGCAAAATGATATTGAGAAAAGGAAAAAGATGTAAGAGAGAAAAGAAAGAAAGGAATAAAGAAGGGGTTAAATATATGTACATGGGGAGAAAACTCCAATAAAACAATAACTAATCAAAAAAATGCAAACAACAAACACCCAACCAACCAATATCCAGATGAATCTGAAGAGGCAGAGCTTATTCCAAGAATGTAATGTCAAGGAATTGAATAAATAGAGAAATAACCACAATTCAGTATAAATGAGGTAGAAAGAGAATGAATGTATAAGAATAAAAGTAAAAGACAAAATACAAAAAATGTATATCTATCTATTTATGTATGTGTTAACTATTGGATATGGAGAATATCCAATAGATAGGCCTGAGTTGGTGATTGGAATTAGTTAAGCTATTAGTAGAACACAATATTAGGTGAGGAGAGGAACAATAGAAGAAAAATAAGAAAAACAACAATCCAAACTAATAAAAAAATCAAACAAAGAACAAGAGAGAAAGAAAAAGACAAAACAAAACAAAACAAAGGCAGAAAAAAAATTGGATAGTGAAGAAAGAGAAAAGAGAAGTATATATGGACTTAGAAAAGGGGAACAGAAATTAGATATATAAGTAAGATCAACTTTTTTAACAGGGAGTAAATATAAAGAATATGGAAAAACTAAAGGAGGAACAGGGTAAGAGAAATGAGACGTAAAAAGGGACAAGTGAGGAACAGACTGTTGGCATAAAGTTAAAATTGAGATAGAGTAAAATAATGCTAAAGGAAAAATAGAAATATAATGTAGAACATTAATCCCCCCCAAAATAAATAAAATTTAAAAAAGTAAAATAATAGTAATCACAATGAAAAATTAAACTATAATAATAAAAAGGTAAAATCAAGTGAGAAAAAATGTAGTTAGTTTCTTAAGTAAAAGATAAAAAAAATAGAAAGTGAAGTAGTGTAGGTCATTACTTCCTTTGTTGTTCTGTTTGACATGTCTGTTTCCTGTCAGGTAGTCAGAACAGTATTGAAGTTCTCTGTGATCCCCTGCTCCTCTGTGTCATAAGCCACAACTCTGTTTTCATGGGGGCAGGATCTCTTTGTTTCTCAGCCTGCCTTTAGTTGTATTTACATAAGAGACAATTTGTAATTCAACCTCTGGGTTGCAGTATTTATGTATTAATATCCAGGGATAAAAGGCTACCCAGTGTTTAGATTGCTTTCCTTATGTCATTTAATACTGGGTTGAAGGGACAGATTGCCCCAGAGCTGGTTCCTTTTTGTCTCTCCCCACTCTGATCCTCAGGTTCCACACACAAAAAAAAACTACCCTGTGAGTATTTTTGATTGGAAGATCCTATGTACTGGGCTTAGTAATCAAAAGCAAGGATTTAAAAAGAAAAAAGCCAGAGTAAGCATGTGGAGTTGCATCTTTTCCCCCTGGCAATGTGTGCATCTCTGCACACATCTTTTTCCACTGGCACTACACAGTCGGTATACTGATATAACTTCAGGATGCCTTTCTGGGCCCAGCCAATCTGTGAGTTGATTTCTAGAGTCCTCTTCTGCCAACAGCCCTGTGGGACCCCCTTCCACATACGTGGGCTACACTAACTCCAATAGCTGTGCATTTTGTGGGGCGCAGTTTTTTTCTGAAACTCTTAGATCTTGCTAAGCTCATTTCTCCCTCCAGCCTAGCTCCCAGACCTCATCATTCTCTAGCTAGGTTATATATGACCTTTCTGTCCATAGATTGCCTCACCAGCTGTGTATAATTTGCCAGTTCCGTGTGGGTGCTGTTTGATTCAGCTGTTCCTTCTATCTGCTCTGTGAGAAGCAGGGCTAATCTGCATTTTTGTGCCACTTTGTCTCCCCCTTGATAGACTATTTAGGAGTCCATGGTCTTGGGGGCTGGAGTCCCAATGTTTTTAAGTTTGCAGTTTAGGCAGCTGGTCCCTGGTATTGTGGTTGTAGGGTCCCGGGAAGTATCTGAGGTCTCCCCACTAGAAGGTAAGGCTCGGCTTCCTATCACAGTCACTTTCCCCTTCAAGATGGTGTGGTCTCTGTGGCAGAGCTGGCCACACTGGGAGAGATTTCAGCAGCAGTAAAGGCTGCCCAGCCAGGGGCATCCATTGTTTTTACCATAGTATAACTACATAAAAAAAAAAGCATGCTTTTTGCCTTTATCAATGAATGGCTACTTTTTTGTAAATATTAGCTGGCCTGTTCATGCTATCAGATGTACTGATGCTTAAATCTAAAAGAAAACTTTGTTGTGGGAATCTGGAAGTTCTGGTTCTTACTAAAGCTAAAGCTATGTCATTGTAGGTTTCATATTGGTATCTGGTTATACTGGTTATTCTTTTATTTTATATACACATTATGCTTGTAGAATGCAAATTAGATCATGGAAAGATGAGTCCATTTAATTGTTTGGGTATCTGAGCTTCTGTAATTGAAAGTAAATTTGATTCTTGAAGTTTCTTTTATTAATAATATTCATACAATGAAGTGTCATTATCTTGGTTGAATTAGGTCACTTTTAGACCCTCATTTCCTGGTATATATATACAACAAGTCAGGAACATTATTTCCACATTCTTCATTTAAAAAGGTAAGTCTTCCTTTTATTCTTGTAGATTGTATTTTTTATGTGTTAATGGTGAGAAGAAATATATTGTTTTATACTCCACAGAATTATTGGGCAAACTGATAAAAAAAAATCTAAGTATTATATAATGTGGCAATTACAATAAAATCATATAGAATAGAAAAACTGCTTTTTAAGTTTAAAATTTAGGAGTCATTTATTCAAGAAAGTCATTTACTATCTGGAAGTATTAGTAAAAATTTGAGAAGAAACAAACAAACCAAAAATAGCTGAAGGAGCTAAAAAAGATTTTATAAAAACCCCAACACATTGAATAGTTTAAATTGATATATCCTAGTCTCTGAGTGGAGAGGAAACGGTGGAAATTGTAGATTGACCATTGAGAAAGTGAGGACAGAAAAGCATATTAGGTACAGAAACTGAGTATGTTCAGTGTGAAACATAGGAATTTTAATTGTAACCCAAAATCCTGGTAGTAGTAAGGAAATTTTTCAAAGTATATGGGAAAGTTAGCCTTAGTCTGCAAAGTTCTCATTTTGCTAGAATATATTGTATGAGTTGGAAGAAACCAATGTTGACATATGATTGGTCAGATTCTATTTATTGTAATTGAGATATTAATATAAATCCATATAGGCACAGTACATGGACACAGACAATAGTGGGATGAAGGCCTGGGGTGGTGAGGAGAAATCAGATGGATGGGACTTAGGGAGGGGGAGGGGGGACATCTGAAATACTCTCAATAATAAAAATAAATTAAGAGAAAAATAAATAAATAAATAAATAAATAAATAAATAGTATCTGGCATAGATTGTTATAATCATCTATAAGTAGAAAGCACAATAAAATATTGTACATGAGGTACCTGTGTTTAGGCATTTGGCAATAGACAGATCAGGAGATTTCTCACTGAGGAACAGGACACCTAGAAGGTGAGTCTCAAATTTAACTTGATCTTCTGTCTGGGAATAATGTCTTAAGCACAGCATAAGAAGTAGAATTAAGCAACCACTAAGAGATTGGAGTTCAGGGATGCTGAAGCAGTTGGAACTTGAAGGAGCCAGGACCAGAGATGGACAGAGCCTATTAAATGTATGTATTTGGGGGGAGGGTAGCTGCCTTCTGTCCTTCATTGAGGATTATGTTACATATTTGCTGGATAAGATTCTACTGAAAGGTAGAGATTCAAATGGAGATAATACTATAGTCAGTGATTTTTAAAATATCTTTTTATATTTCACATAAGAAGAGGGATGGAAAGTGAAAGAAACATTAATGATGAAATAGAATCATTGATCAGCTACTTCCAACATGCTCCCTATTGGGAGTCAAACCTACAATCTGGGCATGTTCCCTGACTAGGAATTGGATAGTGATATCCTGGTTCATAGGTCAATGCTCATTTTTTTTTTTATTTTTTTTTTTACTTTTTTTGTCTCATACTACACATAAGCTAATTACAAAAATTCTGTGTCACACCTGAAAAAATATATAGGTATAATTTTGATTCACTTACACTGCATGGATATTGTTGTGTTTGCTGTTGCCATTTTTTTTTTTTAACTTGACAATGTAAGGGAAAAGATGTCTCTGCCCCTGACAGAGATTTTGTCAGGTATTGCTTGTTTCAAAAACTCTTTCAACACACTCATTGAAAATTGTTGCTGTAGGTCAAACATTGTTGGAAGATAATGGATTGTTCAGACCAGGCAGCATTGTATGAGCAGGCATTCAGCTGAGATCAGAAAGGCTAATTCTTAGGAGAAGGCATCTGGAGTAATGGGTATTTTTATCACCCCATTCTTCATCCCATAGCCTGAAGCAATGAGCAGAGTAAGGAGGGTTACCATTAAAATAATTACCTTCCTCTACAAAATGCAGTACTCTAGCCCTGACTGGTTGGTTCAGTGGATAGAGTGATGGCCTGCAATCTTAGGTTCTATTTCAGTCAAGGATAAGTACCTTGGTTGCAGGCTCCTCCTGGGCCCTGGCCCTGTTCTGAGCTCATGCAGTAGGCAATCAATTGATGTGTTTCTCTCATATCAATGTTTGTCTTTATCTTTCCCTCTCTCTTCCACTGTCCCTAAAAAACATCAATGGAAAGATATCCTCAGATGAGGTTAACAAAATGTAATACTCTATCAAGATTCCAACATTGTAGTGCAAGGCAATAATGCATATAAAAGCAGAAATAAATGATACAGAAACATGAAAAAGAAAATATTAAAGCTCAGAAATTAGTTCCTTCAAATAACTAAAAATTAATAATCCTAGTAAGACTTCTGCAGAATAAGAATTCCATTAATATTAGGGATAAAATGAGATTTTATTAGTCACACAGAAAAATAAATATTTGGGAGTATTTCAAAAGCTTTACACCAGTCTGTTCAATGCTTCTATGACTCTGTTTCTATTTTTGTTCATCAGTTTATGTTTTTATATTTCAGAAATGAGTGAGATCATGTGATATTTATCTGTCTCTGACTGATTTATTTCCTTTAATATAATACTCTCCAGTTCTGAAGGTGGGGAGTGTGGGGCTAAGAGATCAACCAAAGAACTTGTATGCTTACATACGAGCACAACCAATGTACACAGATGTGGTGGTGGTGGGGGGTGAGAGCATGTGCTGGGGGATGGGGGCTGCCAAGGAGAGGTCAATGGGGAAAAAGAAGTATTTATGTAATATTTAAATAATAAAGAATTTAAATTGGGGTGAAAAAAAGCTTTACACCAATAAATCTAGTAGTTTAGATGAAATGCAAAATTTTATTTCTTTGGAACACATATCCATGTATATGATTGTGGCCATATTTTAAGTATATTTTTATATTTTAAAATGAATTAAAACAGGGAAGGGAGGGTGGGATGTTAGAGATCAACCAATGAACCAATCATACATAAAAACCCACAGACACAGACAAAAGGAAGTTGAAGGCATGGGTTGGAAAGTGGGGCTAGGGTGGTAGAGGTCAATGGGGGAAACAGAGGACATACATAATACTTTCAAAAATAAAGATATTAAAAAAAAAAGAATTATCAAAACATTTGCCAGAATGTTGTACTATCTTATATTTCCACTGGCAATGTATGAGAGATGAGTGTCTGCATTCCTGTTGTGGTGATCACTATTCAGGATTAAAATTCATAGACCTTCTGATAGATGTGTAGTGATATCTCCTGTGATTCTGATTTGCATTTCCCAGTAACTAATGATGTTGAACATATTTTCATGTGCTTATTTGTTTTCTTTTTGTGAAATACCCATTAAATGTCTTTTTCCATTTTCTAGTTTGATTTGTGTTTTTTAAAAAATTTTTGACCAACCTACACATTCAAATAGAGATATCTATTATGTGAATATGTATTATGCCAGATATGTGGTATGTAAATATTTTCTCCATTGTTGTAATTCAGTCTTAAAAAATAAATAAATAAATAAATAAATATATATATATGTATGTATATATATATATATGTATACATATATATATATGTATGTATTATTGATTTTTTACAGAGAGGAAGGGAGAGAGATAGAGAGCTAGAAACGTCGATGAGAGAGAAACATCGATCAGCTGCCTCTTGCACACCTCCTACCGGAGATGTGCCCGCAACCAATGTACATGCCCTTGACCGGAATCAAACCTGGGACCCTTCAGTCCACAGACCGACGACGCTCCACCACTGAGCCAAACCGGTTTCGGCTCCACTGTTGAAATTCAACTACATTCTTTTCCAAAGGACATTGATAAGAAATTTTTGCATTGTTCTTTTGGGCTCAGTGAGCATGTTCATGAGAGTTCATTTTAATTATCTGTCAGGTAAATCATTTAACTTGGTTTCATTAGGGTCAGTTTTAGAGATTTATCTTATTCCTTTGTGTGAGACATCTTTTCCTGACTATTTTATTAATTTTTTGTTTTGATGTCTGCTTCTTAGAGGGCTCCCTCAGTCTTCACTTTGGGGAAGTACAGAAGAGGACCCCACAAAACATCCTGGAAAGAGATCTGGGGGCCTCTACTAACACTTTGCCATCTTCAGGGCAAAGCAGGCATCTATTTATCCTTGCCTTCTCTGTGCTGGTCAGCAGAAAGGACCAGTGGCATTTACCATCTAGAGCTGCTGCTTCTGTTCTTTCCCTTTCAACTGGAGTGTGCAGGAATCATCAGGGCTCCAGGATTGGTGAGACAGATGCTAGTACCTTGGGCAATTGTGGTGAAGTGGAGGCACTGAATGTGTGGATCAACTTTCTTACCCCAGGAGGAAGCACAGAGCTGGGATTTTCCATCCACTCACTCTAGGCAGAGTTAGGGTGGGGATGAATCAATGGTGTCTAGTAGCCACTGCCTCTGTTGTTGCTTGAGTGGCTAGACTGTGCTGAACTCATTGGATCTCCAGGACTCCTGTCACAGATACTAGTTCTTTGCATCAGCCCCACAGAAACATTAGGACCTTGGACTTGTGCGCAAACCACTTCCTTTCCATCAGTAGGATGGTAACTAGAGGATGTGTTTTTTATCATAAGGCAGTTCTCTGGGGTAGTTTCTGGTGAAAAGTTCCAATCCTTCCTCCTGGCTTTGGTAAGAGATTTTCCATTCTTGTATGATGTGCAAGAGGCTTTCTATTAGTGTCTGGTTTCTCACAAAGGGAAATTGCCCGTGAAGTGTTGCTGAATTTGTCTGTTGGGGGATGGAGGAGATAGGGCTTCTTACTCCACCATCAAATTTAATTTCCATGTTCATTGTAACAAATTTTCATAGCTTTTTAAAAATCTTTGTGTGATAGTTTCAATATGTGCCTCATCTCAATATTAATATCAGTGGTTGTGTTTTCCCCATTTTTGCTGTGATTTCCTTGCTTGTTGATATAGGGTGTGATTTTCAGTTGCACTCTATTTTTATTGTATATTTTTTAATTGTCCAAAGTTTTACATATGTCTCCTTTTTTTCCAGGTTGACACCCCCCCCCACCCCACAGCCATCCCTAACCCCAAGCTCCCACTGCCCCAGTGTCTGTGACCATTGGTTATGCTAATATGAATGCATACAAGTTCTTTGGTTGATTTCTTCACTTCTAAATAATCTTAATTTGAAAGCAGTCACCTAGGTTAAGTATAGATTTAATGTGTTCTATTGTTCCAAAGACAATTTAGCTTTCTTGGGTCCTTTGATGTTATATTGTGCTCTGCTGCAGCTCCTGCTGGATCTCTGCCTGTGCAGCCTGCAGGGATAAAAGGAACTTGGCTGTGCCAACTTGTATTGCCTGGTGGGGTCAGATGGTGAAAAATCTATGGGACGGAGAGCATTTCCTCTGACTATTCTCTAGCCGATGTCAGTTGTTTCTCCTTTGAACTTTGCTAGTGTTTATTGGTTAAAAGATATCCCAAATGGGAAATCTCTCATGAGGATCATTTTCTCTAACTGGGTGCAAGTCCAGGAGCTGAAAGTCTGAATTGCTCTCTGCTGCTGTATAGAGTTTCAGAAACCTTATACTTTGTGAAGAGCTTGTAGCTACAATGGCTGCTGGCACCAGTGCATAGATACAGCTGTTGCTTCTCTTGGAGCAGAGTGTGTTCAGATGATGGCAGTGGGTGGGAGATGGTGGCTCACTATATTTTTGAAATAAAGCAAATGGTTACTGATGGAGATGCATCTCTGGGAGTTTAAAATGCATAAACAAATACATAGGAGAGAATGGGATGCTTCTAAAGTTTTAACAGCACAGGATTAACAAAGGATTAAGACTGACTCTAGATTTCACTAGACTTTTAAGGGAAGGGAAGGGAATATATACTGAAAGAGAATATTGAGGGAGAACCTGAGACTTGCCATGAAAGTCCATGGGGATGAGAGTTTGAACTAAAGATGATTAATAATGTAAAATATTAAGAACAAAAATATGAAGAAATATCCATTAAGGTATTTTTGGGTAACTTAGAAAAATAAGTGAGAAGTTCACTGTTGAAGTCAAATGAATGTTGTCAATTACATGAGTCAGCAGTTTCAGATCATATACTTAAGAAATGCAGCTGAGAAAAGAAAGATAAAGCTTCTATCAAGTACTTATTAATTAATTAATTTATTTATTCATTTATTTATTACTTATTTAGACTAGTATTTGTATAAGCATTTGTGTAAAAATTTTTTTAGAAAACCTGCTTTCAATTTCTCATGTATATGCTTAGAAATTGAATTTTTGGACCATTCGGTTTATTTTATATTTAAATTTATGAGAACCTCCAAACTGTTTTCCAAACCAGTTGCATGTTTTCACATTCCCATAAGCAACATACAAGAATTCCAAGTGCTCCAGATCCTCACTAGTACTTATTTTTCATTTTAAAGAAATGTATCCTTGTTAATGTAAGTATTACAGATGCTATTTGTTATTTTGATGTTGATTTCAACAAGACCCTTATCAGTTATATGATTTCCAAACATTTTCCCCATTTTATGAGTTGTCTCTTTCTAGATCTAATCCTTTGATCTGCACAAGTTTCTGTAATTTTAATATACTCTACTTTATTTTTGGTTGTTGTTTGTGCTTTCTGTGCCAGAACTAGGAAAAGACTTCTCACTGCCGTATCCAAATTTATGGAGATTTACCCCTATAATTTCTTATAAGAGTTTTGTAGTTTCAGCTCTTATATTTGGATGTTTGATCCATTTGGACTTAATTTTTGTACATGGTGTATAGTAATTACCTGATATTTTCTTTTGCATATGGATTTTCAGTTTTTCTAGCACAATTTGTTGGTGAGACTATTCCTTATACATTGAATAATCTTGGAAGTTATGTAAAAATCTAATAACTATGGATGTATAAGTTTATTTCTGAACTCATAATTCTATTGCATTGGTCTGTATGTCTCTCCTATTACAGAACCACACTGTTTTGATTATTGTAGCTGTATTCCAAGTTTTTATTTAAAAAAAAACCAAAAAACAAAAAACCTCTTATGGAGTTTTAATTAGGTTACATATGTTTTTATTACCCAGCTGTAATATCTCTTTTTATATCTTAGATACAAGTTCTTTTAAAATATATGCACAAACAACCACAGAAAATAAACTGGAGTTCATTAAAACTACAAAAACTTTGTACATAAATACAAAACAGAAATATATATATATATATTGTATATCTTAATATATATTTTATTGATTTTTTACAGAGAGGAAGAGAGAGGGATAGAGAGTTAGAAACATTGATGAGAGAGAATCATCGATCAGCTGCCTCTTGCACACCCCCCACTGGGGATGTGCCCGCAACCAAGATACATGCCCTTGACCGGAATCGAACCTGGGACCCTCCAGTCCACAGGCCGACGCTCTATCCACTGAGCCAAACTGATTTTGGCAAAACAGAAATATATTTAGAACAGAATAATGATTGCCAGATGGGGAGGGGATTTGGAGGACTGGGTGAAAAAGGGAAGGGATTAAGAATACAAGTTAACATTTACAGAATATTCACGGAAATGTAGAGTACAGCATAGAAAATATAAAGTCAATAATGTGAAAATTATTTATGGTGTCAGGTGGGTACTGAAAATATCAAGGGAAACACATTGTAAGTGATCTAATATGAAATAATATTAATATGAACTCTAATTAAAAATAAAATTTAAATTAAAAATAAATACAGTAAATGAAATAAAAAATATATTATGAATCATTTAATCTAGAACATGGTTTGCCTTATTATTTCCTTAATAATATCTTAAAAAAAAAATACACCTCATTTTTTTCCAGCATATTTAGCTTTAATTAAAAAGTGAAAAGCAGCCGAAACTGGTTTGGCTCAATGGATAGAGCATCATTTTGTGGTCTGAAAGGTCCCAGGTTCGATTCTGGTCAAGGGCATATATTGTACATTGGTTGTGGGCACATCCCCGGTAGGAGTTGTGCAGGAGGCAGCTAGTCGATGTTTCTCTCATATTGATGTTTCTAGTTCTCTATCCCTCTCCCTTCCTCTTTGTAAAAAATCAATAATATATATATATATATATATATATATTTTTTTTTTTAAAAAGTGAAAAGCAAAGAAAATTTCCCTGCATCTTAACAAATTAATTACCCTATTATTAACATTTTGGATTAGAATGCTATTTGGGTTATAATTTATGAGCCAATCCTACCTAATAAAGAGAGAATACGCTAATTGACCCTCTCACCATCTCAAAAATGGTGGCCCCCATAGCCAATAAGGAGAGAATATGCTAATTGACTGATACACCCTCAAAAATGGAGGCACCCACATCCACAAGATGGTGGTGCCCAGTCCCCTCAACCTTGCTGAGGTAGCAGGCACCTGGCCACCCCTCGCACCTGCCTCCAGAGTCCCCCAGTCTCTTTAGGCCCCCAGCTGCCTAGGGCTGGCCCAAGGCACAGGCAAGACTCGAATGGCTTCTGTCAAGCTGCCCAGGGCCACCCGAGGCTCAGGTAACCAGGGATGGTTGAAGCTTGTACTGCTGGCAGTGGAAGAAGCAGAGGTGTGGTGGGGCGTGCCTTTCCTTGAATGCTGGGTTGCCTTCCGCCCCTGAGGGATCCCAGACTATAAGAGGGGGCAGGCCAGACTGAGGGACCCTCCCTCTCCAGTGCATGAATTTTCATGCACTGGGCCTCAAGTATTAATATATTACTACTTATTAAATCTTACAGCTTACATCAGGATTTATTCTTTATGATTCTGTTTTGCTTGTTTATTTTATATATTTTTAGATTCAATGGCTGATAAATATTTATTGCCATTATTTATATGTTTATCTTTTTTCTTCTTATTATTCTTTAAGAAGTATTACATTTTATGTAATACTGGTTTGGAGGTGACAAACTCCTTTATATATTTTTTGTCTGGGAAGCTATATGTCCTATTTTAAAAGGTTCTTTTAAAATTATAGAATTATTTATTATAGAAAGGATTTTTTGGGTGGAATTTATAGGCAGGTGAGTGTTAAGAGGAAGTAATTATAGGTAGATCAAAAGAAAATCTGGAAATTTGGTAAATAATACTGGTTAATTGGCTAAATCTGTGCATTCATAATGTCTAGAAAGTAAGTATGAAACCAAAAACTTAATGTTTAAATCATACCTTTATGTACTCCTGTTAGAGCCATTGCTTCCACCAAGGATATGTTGCAGAGATTCCAAATTCAGTTGTGACACTAAGCACCTGTTCTGGACTCAGGTAATTGCTAATTCCAGAGATATACATGGTTGACAATCTTATGTAACACTTTAATTTTTACAAATTCCTTGAATGATAGAGTGAAAGCAAAGAAAATATAGGCTTTGGTTGTGTTTCTTCTCATATGTTTTTTTTTTTTTGTCCTCCTTTTATAATTTTTATATTTTTGTTGTCTCTATCTTAAGCTTACAGTCATAAAATTTATTTAGAATAAGTCTACTAGAATAAAGAATATTCATTTGAATTAACCCTATAACAACCATAGGGACTTATAAATGCCCTAACTGACAGATAGTATAAATTAGGTTGAAAGTAAATTTGAGTAAAATGGAATGATTCCTATATTTAATTGTATCATAAGGATAACTATCAAATTTATATAAAAGTTTTTATTTGGTGTTGATTTACATTTCTCAAAGAGAAAATCTAAATTATTATTTTATGTTATTTTATGTGTTTAAATATTCAGGGGATTATTGCAGTTGGTGAACGTCAGTTTTGGAATTGAACCATTGGAATCCACAGCTATGTTTGAGCATATGCTTTATCAAATAAAGAATAGTAAAACTGATTTTCTCACATTACAACACAATTATCCTATAATCCAATTTGGAGAGCAGGCCTACAGGATTCTTGTGAAGTCAGAAGTAAGTTACCATATTCTGAAATTTTCATTTTGCTACTTTTGATAAACTTATTCTCATAGAAATTTGTTACATTTAAAAAAATTAAACATATTAATTATATTTAAACCTTTTATGAGATATTTAAGTATTTTATGAATATATCATTTATAATTTAGAAGTATAGTAAATATAAATTTACATACTTTAAAACTGAAAATTATTCCTTTCCCCTAATTTGAAGTAAAAAAAAACATATATATACACACACACACACACACTAATAAAAGGGTAATATGCTAGCTAGACTGGGAGACCTTCCAGGAGACCTTCTGGACAAAGTCATGGTGGTGGGTCTGAGGCAGAGGTGGTTAGGGGAGATCAGGCTGGCAGAGGAGGGCAGTTAGGGGCAAGCAGGTTGGCAGGGAGGGATAGTTGGAGGCAGAAAGGGAAAGTTGGAGGCAGTTGGAGGTGAGCAGGCTGGCGGGGGGGGGGGGGAAGTTGGGGGTGAACAGTCTGTTAGGGGGGGCAGTTGGGGTTGATCAGGCTGGCAGAAAGAGTGGTTAGGGCGATCAGGTAGGCAGGCAGGAGAGCCAGTGGGATGTCTGAATGCTGGTTTAGGCCCCATTCCCCAGGGATCATGCCTAAACCGGCAGTCTGATATCCCCTGAGGGGTTCAAGATTGGAGAGGGTGAAGGCTGGGCTAAGAGACCCCTCCACTCCATGCATGATTTATGAACTATTGTTCAATAATATAAGCTTAATATGCTAATTAGATCAGAAGTCCTCTAGACATCCTTCTGGGACGAAGCTGGATCTGCTTCTGCAGGATCCAGGCAGGAATCCAGGCAGCAGAAAGAGATAGAGGCTGCTATAACTGTGAAGGCCTACTCTTGCAAGAATTTCATGCATCAGGATTCTCAAGTATTTTATATATATATATATATATATATATATATATATATATATACTCACACACACACATACATACACACAGACACACACACACACACACACACACACACACACAGTTGTATTGTTATTGAATTTTCATCCTACTAAGGCAATGATACCCAGATTTTCTGGTTATTATTTTGTCCATATTTTCCTTACCAATACATGTTTTAACTTTGTAAAAACTATTTTTATAGAAAATTTAAAAGTAGACCAAATTAAATATCATTATCTAGAGATAGTGTTCTTAGAATTTTGAAATATGTGGCCCAATTTTTACAATGTACAATATCTTTCTATAAATGTGGATTTACAAATGTACAGGTCATTTTTAAACAAAAAAAATGATCTAACTATGTCTGATTCTTTGAAATTTCTTTTTTTTTGTTCTTCAGAGGACAATGCATTCTTTCACTTGTTAAATTACTAGTGCCCTGGTGCAGCATTCTAAACATAGAAAATAAATTAATTAGAAGGTTGTCGGCAAGGTGGGACTAGGCAAGACCAACCAGACACATCCTAGAGCCAACCTCCCATGGTTCCTCCCTGATTGGCCACGCCTGGTGGCACCATGGTCAAAGGGCATCTGTGGAGTGAGTGGGGTACCTCTGGCAGGTGGGCTCTCTTGGCCTGGCATGCTGGGATTGGACCAAAACTGGCTCTCCAACATCCAATGGTCCTGGATTGCAAGAGGGTGGTTCTCAGGTGACACACCCCAGAATCGGGCTCCCTCCTTTCTAGTTCCAGGGTGCATCACCCAAGAACCACCTCTGCCAAGTCTCTGCAGTTCAGCAACTCCTGCATTGAGCTTCTGGTCCCTGGTGGTAGTACATGTCATACTGGCCTGCTGCTTTGCCAGTCAGAAGGTCACTTAGCTTTTTAGATATATAAATAGATTTTATGTGTCTTATTTTAAGTAATATGGTTAACATTGATTAACTTATTAAATATATGTAAAAATTGCCACTTAATTCTTGTTAAAATGCAGAATGATCACATTACTTTAGCAAATAATCTGGCACTTTCTTTTTTTCCCACAAGGAAACACAGACATGAAACTATATTGCAGTCACTTTTTTGGTGTTAATGTTTTTTCCCAAGAGAAAAGAAAAAGGCATCTGGACTGTCTCCAGTTTGCCCTCACAGAAAAACCATAATCTATAGTTATCAGAAACTAGTTGGTAAATTAAAATATGGTAGCAACTTTCCAGAATCTTCTTTTTCATGAAATTCATAAGAACATCATCTCCATGTCAAAGCATTCACTCTAAGGCTGCTGAAATCTAGTGGAATGACTTCATCATCTTGTGAAGAACCTCTTGGGCCTCCTGGTTGTGTTGCTATGCTATGTCAGAGTGAGGGGAAAGCATTTAGACTGGGGGAAGCGGTAGTGGAAGGGACCTGCAGTCTGACCCTTGCAGAGGGTAAGCAGTGGCCAGAGACCCAGGGTGCCAGCAGCAGGGGCCCATCGGGTCAGCACATTGTGAGCCTCCAGGGGACAAGGCATGGAGAGGCTCTCAGTCTTCACACATGGAATCTGTTATCTCCACTGCTTCACTACCTCAGTCCCTCCTTTGGTGCGGCATGGGGAAGAGGGACCCCCATCTTCTGGGGGCCCCAGCCTGTTGGGGGCCCAGTCCTGCCGGGAACAGTGGTTACACCAGGCTGCTCAACTCACGCCCTGCTCCAGCATCCTGTTGCTTTCCTCCCACTTTGAACTTCCACAATTTCTATATAACTCAGGAATTCCATTTCCAAGTACCAAGAAAAATGAAAGACAAAATTTCACAAAGACCTATACATTAACATTTATAGCAACTTTTTTTTTAATAAAAGCAGAAATGTCTATAAATGTTCTACAGGTAAATGTACAAGCAAGTTGCAATGGGTATCTTCACTGGCACACTACTTAGGAAGACACTAATGAATTACTAATAATCACAACAGGGATGAATTCTGAATGAAAGAAACCAGACAGAAATGAGTACATGCCATATGCTTCCATTTATATGGAATTGTAGAGTAGATCATTGTAACCTATGTTGAAAAACAGCAGATCATTAGTTTCCTTGAGCCTGTGGCTATTGATGTGGAAGAGGGTAATGACCTCATTCTTGGTCTGACTTATGGGAATGGTTACATGGCTGTTTATATTAATACCAATGATGTAACTGTATACTTAAAATGGATGCATTTTATTAGGTGTAAGCCACAATTAAGTCACTATAAATAACTGAAAGTGCGTAAAAATGATGAGAAAATAGAGGCAATGTTTAGGGAAAGTTGATGGGAATTTGTTAGCTTGAAGGTTGGGACAGGATTTTAGAGGAAGGTTTTGAGAGAAAGGAAACATGGCTTCTCCCTTATCGCAGCAATAATTTTTTTGAAGATTCCAATTATCCTAATATATAAAAACCTTGGGTCCAACATGACCAGAGGCTCCAATCAAAAACCCGAAGTCAGTCCTGCAGTTAGCGCTGGGTTGCTGTGTCAACAACCAGGTCAGCACGGTGACCCAGCACTGACTGCTGAGTGGGGCTATGAAGTAGGCCTGGAGAGAGGCCTCAAGAGAAATGCAGGGTTTGATCCATAGCCTCTGTGGCAGCTGTTGATCAGCACTTGCCTTTCTCTTTCTCTCCATGTCTGGCCAGCAGCCATGTCTTCATTTCTCACCAGGCCTCCACTGTCTCTCCAGGCCTCCACTGGGGCTGCTATTCAGCCTTTCTGAAAAAGCCCCATTGATAGGCCCAGAGATGCTGACTGGCATAGAAACCAACCAATCAAAACCAAATCTGGGTCAAGTGTGAGGAGCCAATGGCAGAGCTTTTGACAATGACTGGGAGGCAGAGCTTTTGACAATGACTGGCATAGAAACTGACCAATTAGAACCAAATTGGCTGGCAGAGGAGACAGTTGGGGTGAGATCAGGCCAGCAGGGGAGGGTATTTAGGGGCAATCAGCCCATCAGGGAAAGGCAGTTGAGTGTGAGATTAGGCTGGCAGGGGAGGGCAGTTGAGGGTGACCAGGCTGGCAGAGGAGGGCAGTTGGGGGCCATCAGGCCAGCAAGGGAGGGCAGTTTAGGATGACCATGTCAGTAGCGGAGAGCAGTTGTGGTGTGGGCAATGAGGGCAGCTAGGTGTTAATAAGGCTAGCAAGGAAACAGTTAGGGGGTGATCATTCTGGTAGGCAGAAGTAATTAGGGGCAATCAGTCAGGCAGGCAGGCGAGGGGTTAGGAGTCAGCAATCCTGAATTGTGAGAGGGATGTCTGACTGACAGGAATCTGGCCTAAACCGGCAGTCAAACATCCTCTGAGGAGTCCTAGATTGGAGATTGTGCAGGCTGGGCTGAGGGACACCCTTCAGCTCAGTGCACAAATTTCATGACCCTGGCCTATAGTCAAAAATAGAATGTGAAAGCTTCTGATTGGTGTCTAAAATGTTTGTTTGGAATCTCACCTGCTTATTTACTTAGTCAGTACTCATCCTCTTATTTTCCTGTTATCTGTATCTTTATGTATCAATATTTATTTATCTACTAGAGGCCTGGTGCACAAAATTCATGCACAGGTAGGGTCCCTAGGCCTGTCTGGCAACCAGGCCGATCTATAGGGTGACTAGTGGGGTGATCAGAAAGTCCCTGCTGGCACCCACCTTCACTGGTCTGGTGCTGCCCACTAGCTACCCCTGCCCCCTGCCACCACTGCTGGGTGCAGATTGGTGTTGAGCATTTGCCCCCTAGTAGTCATTATGCATCATAGCAACAGGTCGTTCTGCCTATCATTCTACTGGTCAGTTGATTTGCAAATTAGGCTTTTATTACATAGGATACCTCTCTGTGTGAACATATATAATGCACATAATTATAAGCCATATAAGAATTTTAAAAATGTTTTATTTATCTCATGTCCTGTGTTTCACAGAAAAAATTGGATGCTATGCTATTGAAAAGAACTCTGAAAATACAAATCATTATGGATAAAGCCTTGGTATGGATTATTGATACATTTCATCATATCTTTGTTTTGTGTTTAAATACAAAAGGAATAAGAAACATTCTTGCTTTGCAGTACAGATATAATTTAAAGTGTTCAAAATGTGTATTTGAATACAGCAGGGAATAAACATACATCAATTGCCTCTTCATTTAAATATGAAGATCAGTGTTTATGATATTGATATCTAAATCAGTATGCAATTCCTATAACAATGTATAACTTTGTATGTGTGGGAGACTTCAACTACACTATAATACGTTGGATTATGACTAATTGCAGGTATTTCAAATCCATCCCTAATTGTGGTGAAATTTTCTTTCTTAAATTGGTTTCCATTTTAAAACAAGTATTTGTTTTATTACTGATTTGGTGATTCCTGTTATTTGGTGATTCATAAGTTTATTTTATGCTTTATAAACACTTGTGATGCCTGGTGGAAGTTATAAATGTTAATGGAAGAACTATTCATAGGAATGTTCATTTAGTGATGGGAATTCTTTTTTTTTAAAATATATTTTATTGATTTTTCACAGAGAGGGAGAGAGACAGAGAGCTAGAAATGTCGATGAGAGAGAAACATCAACCAGCTGCCTCCTGCACGCCCCCTACTGGGGATGTGCCCGCAACCAATGTACATGCCCTTGACCAGAATCGAACCTGGGACCTTTCAGCAGTCTGCAGACCGACGCTCTACCACTGAGCCAAACCGGTTTCGGCAAGATGGGAATTCTTAACACAGCCATATGGATCAGAAGTTAAACAGTCTAATTTGTTATCACTGATATTTTTTTCACCAGTCTCTCAATGACTGCAATAATGTTCTACTTTTTTTCTTTTTTAGGTTCTTTATTGTTTAAAGTATTACATATGAATCTTTTCCCTCCCATTTCCTCTCCCCATTCATTCTATCACCCTTCTGCAAATGCCCTTACCCCACTTACTGACTGTGTTCATTGGTTATACTTATATGCATGCATACAAGTCCTTTGGTTGATCTCTCCCCTGCTTCTTCCCCCACTGTCTCCTCTTCTCTGAGGTTGGATTGTCTGTTCAATGCTTCTATGTCTCTGGACATAGTTCACCAGTTTATGTTGTTCACTGTATTCCACAACTGAGTGAGATCATGTGATATTTATTGTTCTCCTTCTGGATTATTTCGATTTGCATAATGCTCTCCAACTCCATCCATGCTGTTGTACATAGTAAGAGTTCCTTTTTTTTTTTTATAGCAGCATAGTATTCCATTGTGTAGACATACCATAGTTTTTGAATCCACTCATTTGGTGATGGGCACTTACGCTACTTCTAAATCTTAGCTATTATAAATTATGCCACCATGAATATAAGACTACAAATGTCCTTTCTGATTGGTGTTTCTGGTTTCTTGAGATATATTCTATGTAGAAGTGGGGTTACTGGTTCTAATGGGAGTTCAATTTTAAAAAAAATATATATTTTATTGATTTTTCATAGAGAGGAAGGGAGAGTGATAGAGAGCTAGAAACATTGATGAGAGAGAAACATCGACCAGCTGCCTCCTGCACATCCCCCACTAGGGATCTGTCCGCAACCAATGTACATGCCCTTGACCAGAATCGAACCCGGGACCCTTCAGTCCGCAGACCGACGCACTATCCACCGAGCCAAACCGGTTTCGGCAGGGAGTTCAATTTTTAATATTATGAGGAAACTCCATACTGTTTTTCCACAGCAGCTGCACCAGTCTGCATTCCCACCAGCAATGCCCAAGGATTCCTTTTTCTCCACATCTTGCCAGAAATTATCATTTGTTGATTTGTTGTTGATGGCCATTTCGACAGGTGTGAGATGATACTTCATTGTTGTTTAGATTTGCATCTCTCAGATGATTAGTGACTTTGAGCATATTGTCATATGTTTCTTGGCCTTCTGTAAGTCTTCTTTTGTAAGTGGTTATTTAGGTCCTTTGCCCATTTTTTTTTTTTATTGGATTTTTATCTTCCTTTTGTTAAGATGCATGAGTTCCCTATACATTTTGGAAACTAAATCCTTATTGGATATAACATTGGCAAATATGTTCTGCCATGTTGTGGGCTTTCTTGTTGTTTTGTTGATGGTTTCTCTTGCTGTGCAGAAGTTTTTTATTTTGATATAGCCCCATTTATTTATTTTCTCCATAATTTCCTTTGTCCTAGGTGCTGTATCAGTAAAAATATTTCTATGACATGTCTGATATTTTTCCGCCTATGGATTCCTCTAAGATTTTTATGGTTTCTTGTCTTATGTTTAAGTCCTTTATCCATTTTGAGTTTATTTTTGTGTATGGTTTAATTGGTGGTCTAGTTTCCTTTTTTTTTTTCTTTCATATATCTGTCCAATTTCCCCCACATCATTTATTGAAGAGACTATCTTGATTCCATTGTATGCTTTTGCTACCTCTGTCAAATATTAATTGAGTATAATGGCTTGGGTCTATTTCTGAGTTCTCTACTTGCTTCCATTGGTCTACATGTCTATTCTTATGCCTGAACTGGGTAGTTTTGAGACCAGTAGCTTTGTAATATAGCTTGATATCTGGTATTGTGATCCCTCCAACTTTACTCTTCTTGGTCAGGATTATTGTGGCTATTCGGAATCTTGTTTTTATGCCAGTTGATTTTTTTCAGAGCATTTGTTCTAGAACTGTGAAGTATTGGTATTTTAATGGTACTTGCAATGAATCTATAAAATTCTTTGGGTAGTATAGACTTTTCAATGTTATTATTCTACCGATCCATGAGCAAGGTATATTCTTCCATTTTTCTTATATCTTTCTCTATTTTTTTTTTCAAGGTTCTGTAATTTTTTTTTTACCACAGGTCTTTTACCTGCTTAGTTAAGCTTATTCTTAGGTATCTTAATTTTTTTGTTGTAATGGTAAATGGGATTGTGCTTTTAGTTTCTCTTTCTGTAAGCTGTTGTTGTATGAAAAAAGCCATAGGTTTCTGAGTGTTAACTTTTTATCCTGCTGCCATTGGCAAATTCATTTATTCAGTTTACTAGTTTTTGTTTTGTTTTTCTTTATGGAGTCTTGAGGTTTTTCTATGTACAATATCATGTCATCTATGAATAATGACAATTTTACTTCTTCTTTTCCAATTTGGATTTTTTTTATTTATTCCTTTTTAAATATGTATTTTCATTGACTTCAGAGAAGAAGGGAGAGAGAGTTAGAAACATCAATGAGAGGTAAACATTGATGGTTTGCCTCCTGCACACCCCCTGCTGGGAATTGAGCTAGCAAACTAGGCATGTACCCTTGTCTGGGATCAAACCCACCCTGATCTGGGGCCCCCTTCAGGGCAGGCCAGCAGGTCCCCACCTGTGCACCTGGCCTTTATCCTAGTTTCCAGAATGCTTTTATTTTAATTTCTTTGGTAACCCAATCATGGTTTAATAGCTGCTATTTAGCCTCCATGTGCTTGAGTTTTTGGAGCATTTAGGGGAAGGGATGGAGGCCCTAGCAGTTGGTGGTATCAGGCATCCAGGGGAAGGGTGGAAGTACCCAACTGGCAGCTGGAAGCTGCTAGGGATCCTACCAGTGCACAAATTTTATATACTGGGTCTCTAGTTTTGAATAATATAACTATCACTTGGTGCTCAGTACACGACATTTGTACACTGAGGAGGAGTCTCTCAGCCCAGCCTGCTGCCTCTCACATACTGGGAGCCCTCAAAGGCTGACTACTGATAAGCAGCAGTCTGGCCTCCCTTTGCAGGAGATGACTAGCTGATCAGGGGAAGGTGCCAGCCCCATCACCCCACTGCTGCAACCACTGCCAGTCACTGCAGCTGCCAAGATATTTTCATCAACATGGACTCCATGAAAAAGTGACAACTTTCTTTAAGAATTTTCAAGATGTGTCTTTCATAGGATATGACATTTCTTTTTTTTTCTTTTTATCCTCACCTGAGGATATGTTTCCCTTGATTTTTTTCCCCTTCCCTCTGATCCCAGGCTCAGCCCCTTCCCAAGCCTAAAGCCTCTGCATGATGGCTGGCTGGGAGTGACATGGGTGCTGAGGAGGTTCCCAGGACCCAGGTATGTATGCAAATTAACTGACATCTTTGTTGGGTTAATTTGCATACACACTCTGATTAGCTGTGTGTATAGCAGAGATACAATCAATTTACACGTTTCTCTATTATTAGGTAAGATATATGTTTTGTCTAGGAATTTCCTGGTATATAATTTTATATTTTTAATATTTCTATGTCTTTGTAATTGAGGTGTTTTAATTTTAATTTGCACAAGGTATCTTTTTTATAGCCTTTCCTATTTAGGATATTGATAATTTGTGATTATTGACTAATTTACACATCACACTTTTATTTATTTATTCTTCCTTTTCACATATTTAGTCTTAAAAAGGATAACTTTCACTCATACCACACTCAGCTGCAGTGCATAATTTTACAATGTGGTTTAGTGAGAAAGGTCATATACAAATAAATGGCAAAGTGCAAACATAGTATTTTAGGGAGTTAAGAGAATAGAATCATAGAATCACTTTGTCTATTTAGAGAACTATGACCATTAGATTTTATTTTCTGTTAGTAATCTTCTGCAGAATTGGTGAAGATTATTGAAAATCTGAAACTGCCACTTTTTATGCTCTTCTTAAACACTTTTAAATGTGTGTGGGGAAAAAAAACAATATAAAGGATTTCAGAAAAAATATTATAATTTTTTGTTCCCTTAAAGGGGAGTATATTCTTAAATTCGCTTACTGTTATGGCACTTGGAGCTCTATGTTAGACCAAAAGACTTAGTGGTTTAGTTAGAGACTTGATTCTGGTTCTTACTCTTAGTATTTATACATTCTTGGAATGTTAAATTTTGACTCTTAATTTTTACATCTGTAAACAGGAAGATAATAATAATCTCATCATTTTAGTGTTATTTATTATGTAAAGGCTGAATGTTTATGTCTAAAACTACTTAAGCATTTGATAAATCTTAATCTGCTTTTATCTTCCACTTAGTCACTTATTATAGTATTTCATATCTATTGAAATGTGGTAACTTAGTAATTTTCACTAATGATTAAGAAATAGAACTTGTCTTTCAGTATGATTATATGGGCTCTGAAGTGGCTGTTGCAACTGAGAAAATTGTCCAAATCTTTAGTCTTATCAACACTGTAAGTGTTTATGTTTTGTATTCTAAAAAAATAAACATTCTCATTTATACAATAACATTGTTTGTATGAATAGAATTAACATTTTTATAAAAGTATAGTCTTACCAACCTGTTTCACTTCCAATGGGATTCACTCCAAATTACAGTAAATTGAATATATTAGCATTCTGTATAGAGATATAATGTTCTATCTGTGATTGTGTGATTGTCTAAACTGTATATTATGCATCTTCTGTTTTCAGATGTTTTCCCAGCTGGAACTGACTGTTATGTTAACATCCTTGGAGATCTGGTCAGATAAAAATAAGATTTTATGTACTGGGAATGCTAATGAACTACTACAAAGATTTGTGTCATGGAAAGAAAACCATTTGTTTCAGAGGGCCCATGATATTGCATTCTTGTTGATGTAAGTTGCTTATCTGCATTGATAATAGGGTTTATCAAATTATTTTATATTTTAGCTATCAAAACTAAATACAAATGTTAAGTATAATGACAAAAAAAAATGTATGAGTACATTGTTGACAAAGTGCAAAGTAAAAATATCAGGTAACAAGGTAGCATAACAAATCATGGTCAGCCATTATTCTCAGAGTGGACTATTTACCTGTGGAAATGTAATGAACTGGAAATTACAGGAAGTCTTGGGATATACATGGGCCCCTGAATTTTTAAAGATTTTTTAAAATGCAAATAACTGAAGGCATCATTTTAACACTAAATAAATATAATAAGTTAAGAGAATGCAATAATTGTATATAAAGCTGGTCACAGTCCACAAGATTAAAATGGTAATGTGCTTACCTCTGGTATTCCTGTATTGATCTACGTTGTAGCTATTTAATTACTTGCAGTATACTGTTCAAGGGATTGTGCATAGATTTTTGTTTTGATAATTTTGTTTTAATAATTTAATTATTTTAGATTTTAAAAACTCATAATTCTGAAGTCTGAAAGAATTATAGAATACACGTATAGCCAAAACCGGTTTGGCTCAGTGGATAAAGTGTCGGCCTGCAAACTGAGGGGTCCCAGGTTCGATTCTGGTCAAGGGTTTGTACCTTGGTTGCGGGCACATCCTCAGTGGGCAGTATGCAGGAGGCAGCTAATTGATGTTTCTCTGTCATCGATGTTTCTGACTCTCTATCCCTCTCCCTTCCTTTCTGTAAAAAAATCAATTAAAAAAAAAAAGAATACACATATAAATCTATTGGTGTATCCTGTAGAATCTAAGGTGAGGTTTGGGAATTTAGGAGCAACTTTAAGATATAAAATGAATGAGGGCAGTTTGTACATCCTATTTCTCTTTTTCTTAGTGAGTCATATTCTGTCTATTTGCCCTCCAATGCAAAATTTTTATATACTTTAAAGGTTTTGCTATGTGAAAATCAGGCAGTAAGACTTCCTGACTATTACAACCTAGAATTATATCCTCCCAGAAATGACAACAGTGTTGCTTAAATGGTTATAAGGATTAGACACTGCTATGTTCTGGGATGTGCATCAGATAATGTTGAAGCATTTCTTAGAACTTGACTTTGTAGAAGCTATATGAGGTTACCCAGGTAAAAAAAATGATTAAATGCATTGGAGTTGATATAAAATATTCACATTTTAACAAAAAGATAGCTTTATTGAGAAATCCAATTCTTAAAAAAAGTCATTAAATTATTAATTATTTAAAATGCATTTATTCTCAATAAGATTTTTATTATTTAGTTATAGGGATTATCCAGATTATGTGGGAGCAATATATCATGGAAGGGCATGTGATCCAAAGCGTGCTGCAGGAATTGCTCTGGTATGCATTTTATTCCCATCTCTTCAGTAGTTATGTACCCTGTTGAAAGTTAATATCCACTTCAAGGAGAAAAAGTACATGTAGTGTATCTACCACACCAGTTTGATAGAATTTTAGAAAGTGGGGTTATTTTTATATAGAGAGCATGGAAATTCGAATGGTATAATACTAAAAATAGTTTTTATTATGGTTAAATGCATACAAAATATAGTATCTTAACTATTGTAAGTACATACTGCAGTAGTGTTAAGTTTATTTACATTGTGATAAGCTTATCTGTAGAGCTTTTCATCTTTCATAACTGAAATTTTGTACCCTTTGAGCAACATGGTCCTTTTTTCCAAATCTTCTAGCACCTGACAAGCACCATTTTATCCTCTGCTTCTCTGAGCATGACATTTTCACATTCCATGTATAAGGGAAATCATGTACTATTTGTCTTTTCCTGACTTATTTCACTTAGGGTTGTATTACCCTGCTACATCCATGTTTTTGCAAAGGCGGGATTTTATTATTTTATGGCTGAATAATATTTCATTTTCAGCTACCTTTGCATATCTGTATATATAAAAGTATAATATGTAAATTGACCAGACAGCCTAATGACCACTTGCTATCATGTGCACTGACCACCAGGGGAAAGATGCTCATCACAGGAGCTGCCCCAACACTCAGACCCCAATTGCCTTATCAGGTTCCTGTAGGGAAACCTCTTGACCCCTCATCCCAGCTGGCAGGCTCTGATCACCAGATGGGGAACAGGGAACCGTGGATGGGTGGAAGTGTACTCAGGTGGCGCCAGACCAAAGTGGGTGCAAGCAAGTGGGCCTGATCACCCCACTGGTTGCCCCACATACAGAGGGCGACCAGCATTGGTGGTGGGGAGTGGGACCAGCTGCAAGCAGCTGGGGAAGATAGGCCCTAATAACAGGCCAGGCCTAGAGACCATACCAGTGTAGAATTTTATGCGCCGGGCCACTAGTGGTATAATATAGGGATATATAAGTATGCATATTTGTCTGGGGGTGTAACTCTGTGCCTGTGTGTGTGTGTGTGTGTGTGTGTGTGTGTGTAACATTTTCTTTATCCATTCATTTGGCAATAGACACTTAGGCTGTTTCCATACCTTGGCTATTCTGAATAATGCTTCAATGAAAGGGCAATACAGATATCTCTTCTATTTCAAATATGTTTGATATATACTCAGAAGTGGGTTTGCGGTATCATATGGTATCTGCTTACAATAGTTTATAATCTCATCAGTTTATATTGCATCATGAAAACATCAACACACTCATTATTTTCTGTTTGTTTTTTATTCTCACATGACCAGGTAACATGTTCATTGATTTGAGAGAAGAAGAAAGGAAGTGTTACAGAGAGAAAGAGAGAGAGATAGGGAGAAGGAGAGAGAGAGAGAGAGAGAGAGAGAGAGAGAGAGAGAGAGAGAGAGAGAGAGAGAGAGAGAGAAATGGATGTAAGAGAAAAACATTGATTACTTGCTGACTCAAACCCCAAAACCTTGATATATTCCCTGATTGGGAATCTAACCTGCCACCCTTTGGTGTATGGGATGATGCTCCAACCAGTTGAGCCCCCAAGCCAGGGCATATTCTGGATTTTTAAATCACAGTCATCCTAATTGATATGAGGAGATAGCTCATTGTGGTTTTATTTGTATTCCTCTGATTATTGGTAATGTTGAGCACCTTTTCATATGCCTTTTGGATTTTTGTATATCATCTCTGGAGAAATGTCTATTCAAATCCTTAGTACATATTTAAATTGAGCTATTTTATTTTTGTTGCTAAGTGGCAGGAGTTCTTTATATAATGGTTTTAACTCCTTATCAGACACATGATTTGCAAATATTTTCTTCCATTCTGTAGGTTGCTTTTGCACTCCATTGATTTTGCCCTTAGAAACACAAAACGTTTAAGTTGGGTGTAGTCCCATTGGCCCATTTTTGCTTTTGTTGACTGTGCTCTTGGCATTATATCCAAGAAATTATTGTCAAACTCAATGTCATGAAGATTTTCCTCTATGTTTTATTCCATTTGTTTTGTAGTTTGGGTCTTACCTTTAGATTTTTAATCCATTTAAAGTTACCTATTGCATATGGTATAATATAAGGGTCCAAGTTTATTCTTTTCTGTATTGGTATTCATTTTCCCATCACCATTTATTGAAGATAATTATCTTTTTTTCCACTTAGTATTCTTGTTAAACAAATTATCGTTTCCTCTTTCTGTGGTCCTGGTAACCTTCTCATAGATAATTTGAACATATACTGTAAGGGCTAATTTCTTGGCTTTCTATTCTATTTCAATGATTTATAGATTTATCTTTAAGTCAGTACCACACTGTTTTTATTACATTAGCTTTATATTATATTTTAAAATCTGTAAATTTGGTTCTTCTACTTTTTTCTTCTTTTTTAATATTATTAAGATTCCAACTGAATTTTGAGATTATGTTTCTTTCATAATACTTGATGTTGATAATAAATGACTATGTTACTGGTATATGTACTTACTATGATATACCCTTTATCATTATATTGGAGGGTACTATTTCTACTTATACAAATGAATTTGCTGTGAAACATTATGCCATTTTATACCACTACCATCTTCCTACATCTTATTTTGCTGTATCTCTTGATTGCATCATTTTTGTGTGTGTGTGCTTGACTTAATCTCATATTTTATTGTTCATCAAGGCCCCTGAGTATACAACATCACTGTTGCTTATAAGCACCCACTTTGAATAATTGATCTGGTAACAAAATTAAGAGTAATTAAGTACTACAAAGGAGAAAAACTTATGATGATTATGGTTTGCCAGGCTTTTCATTCTACCACAGCCTGATCTTGAAGAACAAGAACAAAGTTACAGAAGCTGTGAAAGGGTCTCTTCATGGAAGGTAGCAAAAGTAACAAAGGAAACTTCCAATGACCTGTGATGAAGACCAGACACAGAAGTGTATCTCTCTCTGCATCATGGTGGTCATGGCCAAAGCAAAAAGTTTGTTTGTGATGCTAAACAGAATTGGGCCCAATTTAAATGTTGGATTTACTGTCAGCTCTATGTGGTTTCAATAATTCCGGAATCATTATTCACTATATAATATACAAGTAAGTGATGAGAGTGCCAGAGCTGATATGAAGACAGATGAGTAATTCTTGGAAACGCTAGGTGATCTGATTGCATAGAAAATATTCAAAATGGGCAAGACCTCCTATTCTGGAAATAGATGCTTGAAAGGACTTTTATCCATAAAGAGTCAAAGTCAATGCCAGGTTTAAAGACTTTTAAGAATAGGATAATAGTTGCTTGGGCAATGTCACAGGCTACAAATGGTAATCCTTTGTAATCTGGCACAGTGAGAAACATGGCCTTTTAAGCAAATCAATGAGCACATACTGCCTTGCCCTACAGAAACAATAAGTCAAGCTCTTCTTGCAGGGTGCCCTCCTGAATTGCTGTGCCAGCAAAATGGAGTACTGTTTGGGGGGAAAAACAAACAAACAAACAAACAAACAAAATAACCTTTTGAGATTTTGGTGATTACTGATAATGCTCCCAGTTGTGGTCTTTTAATTGGTGATCATTATCTTAATGTTATAGTGGTGTTTTTCCCTTCAAATACCACCTCTTTGATTCTTCCAATGGGTCACAGAGTTATAGCAGATTTTAAGGCCTGCTATCTAAGGAAGTCTTTTGCCAAATTATTGCTACAAGTGACAGAGCCACTGATAAGACACTGATGCTATTCTGGAATATTACAACATATATGGTGGAATCACGAACCTAGCTTGGGCTTGCGGTGATGTGATGAAGGAATGTATGTGTGACATTGGGAAGAAAACACTCAAGAGGTTCCTCTATGACTTGAAAGATTTTGCCAAGGAGGGAAGGTCACAAAATGCAACAAGGCTGTGGTTGATATTGAAAACTTTAACCTGGGTGTGGTTGAGGATGGCATTGAGGAATTCCTAGAGATGATTTCTGAGAATTTGGAGGAACTACATAACTGAAGAAGAGGTAAGAGAAAAGAAAACTTCAAGAGAAGGAAAAGAAGAAAACCCCCCAGAAAATACAGCATTCAGATTTTAGCAGAAGCTTCTACAGATATCAATAAGCTCATCAAAAAATTTGAAAACATGGTCCCAACAATAAGATGTTTCATTAATAGAGAAGAACATTTATCCATTTTGTTGACCTTCTATTTCCACAGTATTGTCTTATAATCTTTTCTAAAATGTTTGTGACATTAGTTGCAATGTCCTAACTTTCTTTCTTTATATGGAGCCTTAGCTCTTCTTCTTTTGATTACTCTAGCTAACAGTCTGCCAGTTTTCTTGACCATTTCAAAGAACCAACACTTTATTTCCTGACTTTCTCTATTTTTATTTTTTATTTTTTATTTTTAATGTTTAAGATATTACAAATAGTGGTACATATTTCTCTTCCCCCACATTGTCATCCTCCTGGCCTTCCCCACTCCTTCCCCATCCCCCCACCCCCGGCATTTGCTAAGTTTTTTTGAGTTGATAGTGCCCTTGTGTGGTAGGTTTCCTATAAGGCCTAGTGGCTCATCCTTCCCAGTCTCCTGAGGTGGACACTCTTGGTGCACCCCTTTGTGGGCTGTGTGCATTGTCTGGTTGTAATTAACCCTTGATTGCTATTGTTATCAGTGGAAGAAATTGGAAATTGACCTCTCCAGGCCAATTGGCTGTGATGAGATCTTCCACTGGAAGATCTGTCGTGCAGGAGACACCCTTATGGGGCAGGATTTACTTCAGTGGGGCTTTGGTGCTCACTGAGTCTGCACCTTGAGTGTGTCTCTTATGGATGCAAAGAGTTGTAATCTGGTATGGTCTCACACTGATCGCTGGGTACACTGGCTCTTGGATCTCTAAGGAGGTGCAAGGCCAGCCACTATCTGGAGTCACCCAGCAGGAGCTACAGAGACATCTGCAGATTCCTCTTCTTTG